ATCCCGCGGTGTAAATAGCAGACTGGGGCTGCGCGTTGGGCAGTTAATATCACTTGCTGGGGGCTACTATGCCCGTGTTCCTCTCTTGTATTTATTATGTCGGCGGTACAGTGATATGCCATGAATGGAAATAATGCGAGGCCTGAGAGTGGATGCTAGCTTTCCCGTTGATAACGACCCGTGGCGTCACCAGGACTCCCGAGACGCAGTCCTACGGCTCCGCGAGGAAACGGAAATGCTCGCTCGTTGTATTTCCAAATAAAGTGATCACTTTATATGCGCAATTTACCTGGAAGCATGAGGGATTGCGTTGGGAAGGCAACTTGCCAACTGACGTTGCGCTCGACGCGCCCGGTAGGTGCGTGCGTCATGGGGTGGTGCTTAACAGCATACTGTGCGGCTATTACGGCGAATTCTACAGCATCTGAATGTATTCATTTCACTCTTTTCTGGTTGTAGCGTATTTGAACGAATCTAACTTTACAGGTGCATGTACAGGCGTGAAAGTATTGCTGTATATAAGCACCCTGCCGCCTTCTTCCTTTAATGGATTTGGTCCGGTACATAGCATCAAATTCGTGTACATCCGCGGGAACTTTCGCTGTCGCGCACTCCCAAATACTTTGTTGCATTGCTTTATGGTTTTTTTGTAGCCAAAATAATTGTATACGTAGGTGTGCAATCCGTTTGCTCGCGCAACATCCGGTTGCGAAGCTATGAGGTTACTGTACCAAAATTTTAAAAAGTTTAAAAATGCATTCCGCTGTACCAAAAGTCTCATTATGAACCGATCTGTTTCGAATTTTGCACGTAAATGCGCATGACCGCAAAGATCGTTCTTACACCGATCCAATGTTCTAACATGTTTTTCGAATTTCAAAATGAATTGCAAAAATTTTAAAATTCGTTTTAAAATTCAAAGGAAATTGTGGAAGCCTGGATTTGTGTAAGAACGATCGTCATGGTCATATACATTTACGTGCAAAATTTGAAGGGGATCGGTCCATAATGAGACTTTTGGTATACCTGAATGCATTTAAACTTTTTGGAATTTTTTAACAGCCATAACTCCCGAACCGGATGTTGTGCGCGAAAACGGATTTCCCGCCTCTGTATACATATCATCTGGCTACATATCATCATGTCAAAAAAATTTAAAAAAGTGCTTGGAAATGCGCGAAAGCGAATAACCCCGTCGATGTACACGAATTTGGTGCTATGTACCGGGTCAAATCCCTTAATGCCGCACTTTTGCCGATATCAGTATTCTGTATGCGCTGCATATTGTAAGCATCCGTCTGCGTTTGCGTATTTCGCTCATTGTCAGATTCTTTAGATTCTCGTACATAAAGCAAGCGCTATCAAGTTGCAATGAATTTTTGCCTGGTCGAAACGCCGGCAGAATTATTTTCAAGGACATGCAAAAATAGGTAGAAGTCTTTACCTAAAGTGATTCGTATCTGTGTAACGTGTACAGTAAAGGGTGTAAAAGTACAGTAAAGGGTCAAAACATTTCTTATATATTCGTTTCTGCCGGCCTTCTGAGCAGGCAGAAAGCGTACGATGATGACAGTTCTTATTGAAAATTGACGTTCGACACATGTTGCCGGGGAACAGGGTTGCATTTGCACTTTGTTTGGTGGATCGTTTAAGCGAATGTTCTTCTATTTACTGTAGTCAGGCACCGACTACCTGGCAGTTTCCTTTAACCGGGCCGCCGGCGGGGAACGGCAGCAAGCTGTAGGCTGTACTGGAGTCACCGCAGCTGCATACTTCACCGATTAATTTCGCTAAACGCCCTATGCTGTTCTGTAGGGTAGCTGATATTTATGCACCCTCAAAAATTGGATTAGCGCTGATTTTATCAGCCTAATGAGTGGCTGGAGATACGTTTGTCATATAGTGGACGGCGCGCTAAAATTGATCAGATTGAGTGCTTGTAACCGACAGCAGTACAAACTTCCGGCTGTTTAACGTGCTTCATGTACATATGCCCACCTCTTTTTATGTATAATGCTTTAGTATTTTCGTTTTCCGATGAGCGGTTGGCGCTTTCCCTTACTTACATAACTGGGAAATATTCCATAAGCCGGATTCATGGATTTCAGCTGGAAGCCAGCCGCCGATGCTTGCGTCCTCGCGTCTGTTGGAACACACAGGCATCCGCTGCTGGCTACCGATTGCTGGGATTAGCAGCGCTCCTGACGGCCAACAAGTGCGGATGTGAGAGTTCCTGTTGAGAAGGAATTGACGATGGGCGTTCTGCATATTTGCGTGGACTTGCCACTCGAATATGGGGATCGTTTCTCGTGAACTTTTTTCTCAAAACAGCACAGATGTCTTGTCTGCCTTCCCAACTGGGACCAGCTGGAAGAATTCAGGGCGCACTAGCTTAGGGGCCGCTGCACAACGCCGCTTACGAGCCCGCATCCGATTCCTCCAGGAGTCAGTTTCGAGGATCATCGGCGGTGGCGCGCAGCCACCGCTGTACGGTACGACTTACGTTGCGTCGATCAACTTCCGCGGTACACTTTACTGTTACATTAATGCAGTACCGCCAGTAAATTCAAAGCTGCTAATAAAACTCATTTAAAAAGTAATTAGCGACGATACTTTGTCAAGTTAGCCGGCACATTCGCGGAGAACCATGTATGCCCACCGCCTCCCACTGCCGTGCGGCTCACCTACCTAGCCGGCGGCAGTCCGGTGGGAATAGTTCGTGCGCTTTCGGCGGAAGTGGAGAACATGATTCCTTCTTGTACACGCTGTGCACGGTATTTGATTTGCAGATGATTATGATAAGCGCATTTCCCTTGTCAGTGTTGCTGCCGTGGTTTGTGCGCCATTCAACGGCTGTTTAATGTTTTAGTAAATACCGGCCCGGAATTAGTGGTGGGCCAGCCCGGCCCTGGGCCGCGGCCCGAACGGCCCGGGCCGATTTCGCCCCGGCCCTTTTGGGAAGGCTGCGCCGGGGCCGCGGCCCTCGGCCCGGGCCGTGGCCCGTCGTGGACGTTTAATATGAAAAAAGATGTAAAAAAAGAAAAAATTTCATTGGGGTTTACTGAAATTTAGTAGCTTTCGATGAGTTTTTTTTAATTTTCACAGCATGTTTCTAGGCGAAAATCCGTCTATTTTTCTTTTTCCGTTAAAATACCCGCTGTAGCCGCTTGAATAATGACATCAGGGAATGAAATATTACTGTACTGCAAGACGGCCCAGGCCGCGGCCCGGATCGGCCCGCGGCCTGGGCCGTGGGAACGACAGCCCGGCCCTCTTGCTCGGGCCGGGCCGGGCAGACCCAACACTACTCGGAATTACTGTATATTAGTTACGTTGGTACTTGGTAGGTACACAGTAAAAGTTTTGAGTTTATTGAAAAGGGATGCATGAACACGACAATGTTGTCGCATAATTCAGAGCAAAAGGTGGTAAAAAGATGGTACTAGCAGGCAACGGTGGTATAAAGGTGGTAATAAAGTGGTATTATAAAGTGGTTCACATAAATTTTTGAATTTCATATTATTACATCATAAAAGAAATGTTTTAAATGCATATATTGTATAACTCAAAAACTCTATCTTTTCTATATGGATATCACATATACAGTATGTGATTTTCTATGTGGATATCACGTATACAGTATGTGAATCGTACAGTATAAGCATATATAAATAATGTGTGACCTTTGTATATACGTATGCAATGTATGCAACTATGCATGCAATATATGTAGACTGTGGTGTATATATAGCAGTATACAGGAATACTGTTCACAAAAGCAGTTGCCTGAAAATGAAAATTAATGGCAACGTTCGGGGGGTTTACTCGCATTTCTCCTAATTCTTCAGAAAACCATTATACAAGTAGTTATGCAGGCCAATGTCAAAACGCCGGCAGAGTTTTGTGCCGACCGAATTTTTGTGTGGTCAAAACGCCGGCCGAATTTCCTGCCGGCAGAATTTCCTGTGGTCAAAACGCCGGCCGAATTTCTTGTGGCCAAAACGCCGGCAGAATTTTTTCAACATTTTCAACTTTAGGCTAAAATAGTAAAAAATATTACCTGCCTCTGGGTACACCTGCCATGCGGTGTATAAGAAAGATTTGGGCATTCTACACTTATAATTACACAAGTATCTTCATCGGCACGATTTTAGTGTTGCTTTGACAGCGTGCTTAAAGACTCGCGAAAGAAAATACAGAAACCGCGCAAAAGATAAAAAAGGTGACAAGGTGTAACAAGGTGATAACAAGATAAAACATAACAAGGTGTTACAGAAATAGATATTGCTGGTGGTAGCTTGCTGGTCGAAATCTACGGGATAGGAACTTTCGGAAGGAAAACAGGATGTAGCAAAAATCATCCGCAAGATTTTGACCAGTAATGTTGGGAGCGTTCTCAGAAGTTCTAACTCATCTCAGGTACGATTCAAAAGGGATCAGACTAGCTCACTACGGTTTTATTGCCGCAGTGTCATTGTTGAACGCCTTGGTTGTCTCTTTTGCACGTCCTTCGTGTTCTCTTCCGAGTTTTAATTCGGCCGGCGTTTCGGTCACAAGAAATTCGGCCGGCGTTTTGACCACCAGAAATTCTGCCGGCAGGAAATTCGGCCGGCGTTTTGCCAACACAACAATTCTGTCGGCAGGAAATTCTGCCGGCGTTTTGACATTGGCCGTTATGCATACAGACTGGTACATATACATAACAGACACAGGAAGGGCAATATCACAGAATCGATCCACGGCAGGCTGGGTGCTGCTATGATCAGCAGATGCACTTCCAAGGTCGAAACAATTTGGCGGCGGGACTGTTGTTGCATTTGACTACAATATAAGTTGGTAGTGGCACTTATTAACACGAAGCGCTAAATGGATATACTTTCAGTAGGCGGCTCTCAGTACAAATTCGCTATCTTGACTGTTTCTGTTTTTAATCTGTACATTAAAACTACTTACTTTGCCTCGTAGCAAATGACAACAAAGACCGAAGCAAAGGAGCAGAATTATAAACATAATACTAACAATTATATAGGGGGCAAAAGTAAGCGTGTTCCACCGTTCCCCTGTACTGCTGCCGTCACCAGACTGGACTTTGACGTTGTGGCTGAACATGGCGCTTACGTACCGCGCCAGATTTAACCATAATATACTATGTACGTAAAACGCATGTTTCATTCATAAAATATGCCAGCTCAATTGAAGAAATTTTAATTTGAAATTCAGTGCGCAAAGGACGAGTATGCTAATGCAGAATGACCTGTTCGCGCACTATCGGTAGGATAAGTTGATATAAAGGTGACAGAAGAACTGTTATTTATAACTGAACTTCCGGTCGGCTCCTTCGGTGGATAAGTAAAATGTATAAACAGAAACGTGCACCGAAATCCGGTCGAGTTGCTGGAACGCTGCTGGTTTGTCGTCCTCACTGCACCGTCGGCGTAGAATGGACGTATGCCGACTGGGTAAACCATTGACCTCGGCGGACATCCGTGCGCAACCAGCAGTCAACGCGCTGCCGCGGCGACCAGAGGCTTTCCTCCTCGCTCATGCTGATGGTCAGTGTCGTGGCGCAGAACGTTTCCGTAGCACCGGGCGCCGAAACGTGGAACGTGACGGTGCCGTTGCGCAGACCGGGGATGTGCCCGCCCAGCAGCGCCGTATAGGGCGCCGCAACGAAATGGCCGTTGTACTTCCAGATAAAATGCAATTGGGGTGCCGTCTGGCTGCAATCCACATTGCGCCCGGTGCACGTCATGGAGAAATGCTGCAGTGACGTGATGACGTCCCGCAGCGTCGGCACGAAGAAGTCGCTGGCGCGTGGCTCCGGCTGCAGGTAGAATTCGCGGAGGGCGGAAAGGTCACCGTTGTTCGTCTGGAAGCACTCCACCGTCCCGCCGGAATCGCGGCTGACGTTGTAGATGAACAGGTAGCTCGTGTTGAGGGCCGTCGTTTGCCCGTACTCGTGACCTTTGGTGGAGTGCGGAATTGCGTCGCCGTGGATGGTGGCGTTGTGGTGGCGCCAGACGATCCGCTGCGCCGCTTCGGGCGTGGCCACTTCGCAGAAGAACGCCTTCCACTCCCCCCACGGGACGGAAACTGTACCGGGCGGCGCTGGCTGTGTTGGTTGTACGGCGTCCTCCAAGTCAGATAGATCAATGATGTTATTCGTCATGCGGACTTCGGCCCGCCGCGCCATCTTTGCGGCTCGCAAACGCTGGACTGCAATGACGAAAAATTCAGTAGGTTTAAGGTTGAATGGTTGAACGTCCGCTCACATTCAGGGCAAGATCCCAATCCGAAGCAGCAGACACTCACAATAACAACAATTCTCCAGAATACATAGTAATCTCTGTTCGGTGCACACACGGTAGGTTTTCCGGTGACCATAACGGTAGGCTACCGTCAGGGTTTTCATCACCGTTAGAAGTTTGTGTGTTCGCTAAGCACAACGATAACGCTCGATACACAATTCGGCTCGGGCTCGGTCCGGTCTCAATAAATAAAAAATTGTGAAGTGAATTTGCAAGAGCGTGACCAACCGCTTGTGAGAGGTAGTTTGAGTAAACAGACGACTTCCGGTGTGTTAGTCCCTTACAAAATAAATTGTTTCTGGATGTTATTTCTCTTTTATTGCTTGCTCAAAATATTTTATTAAATAGAGCGATGTTTTAAGTGCTTATTTCTTTTGACAAAACGGTAATCCACTAATTCCACGGCTCACAAGAATCTACCGGAGATGCCCAACGATACCAACGCTTTCTATCGTTATCTACGATACGGTACAGGCAGAAAAACGGTAAATTTGTGGTGAGTCACACCGTTATCGTCACCGGAAAACCTACCGTGTGTGCCCCGAACAGAGACTAGTGTTTCAGATCAAGCTTTAAACAATAATACAGTAGCTTCAAACAAGAATGACAACACACACCGTTTGCCGGGAAAGTGCATGGTGGAGCTTACCGGGGTTCTGGCCTCCGAATATAAAGCCGTATACGCCGCATCCGGATGCACTGACCAGCGTTATTAGTAAGAGGAAAGTGTAGTGCATACTCGGCATCATCGTTCTGCGAGATGCATCAAAATGCGTTTAAGCGGTTTAATCGATTTTAGCTATTCGCTTGAATCCCATCACATATCGAAATCTAAGTATATAATTGGTTCCAAACTTCCAATAAAGCAGTCGCCATCGAAATACCATAAAGCGATAAAACGCAAGCGCTCGCGCGCCACTTTACGGTTAAAATTTAAAACTTTGAATAAACAACCAAGAATATAATATGTTTGCACTGGAAAGACAGTGGCGTAACTGTGCATAATTGTATGTACCTGTGCTCGTGTGCGTGCGGATGTTCTTCTGAATTATTTGATTTCCCAAGCGATCGAAGCGATATATTGGGTCGTGTTTGTACGCAAACACGACCCAATATCTCGCACTAGGGAGAAAGCGGTTCGAGATTTCAGTTATCCACAGAAAATTATTGGATGCGTCATCACTATCCTGAAGTCTCCCCCGACAATATTGTCATGTAATGATGTAATAGCAGTTTGGGGAAATTCCTAGTTGTTTTACTTAGTAAAAGTAAATAGTAAAACCTTACTTAGTAAGCTCTTTTTGGGTTTTACTAATCAAGTAAAAAGTGTCCCTACACAACGGAAGGAGCGAAAAAGTTTAAGGAAGCTTTAATGTTATAAAAATTGTGATGTTTTTAATTATCTTAAGATACGGTGCACCTCAGGTGAATAAATTACTAGTGCAGTAAAAGGTAAGTAGACTGCAAAACAGAAAAGTTAATAGTAAGTAAAAGTAAGAACAGCCGAGACGCGAAAGTAGTAGTAACAGATACAGAATGGAGAAAGTTTAATTGGCAAATACGAGTAATTTAGTTTACTGTCTGTCAGCAACAAATATAACTTCGGCCGACAGCACCAAAACTCTGTCAAACTCTATTTTTAGGCGGCCGACAGTACCAAAACTGTAACGCGGCCGACACTGATAGTACCAAAACTCTGTCAAACTCTCTAGATTCAAGTTTGCCAGTCCAGGTTTTCTTCTGTAAATTTCGCTGCAGCGCAGACGCTATCGAGCTCATCATGTGCGAGTTACTTGACTGTCGGATCATGGGATGGACTGTATTATAATACTTGTAAATGCAATCGCTTACCTGTAGATGAAATGTTGCTAGCAGATTTTATTCGCTATCGTGGCACCTGCAGTATTTACATGGATAAGGGAAGTGGCCCGGTACATGGTACCAAATTCTTGTACATGCACGGAAACCTTCGCTTTCGCGCACTCCCAGACACATCTCTGTTTCGGTTTAAGACATTTTGTTTGTAGCCAGATGATTTGTATACATTGGTGTGAAAGCCGTTTGTGCGCGCAACTTCCGGTTCGGGAGTTATGGCTGTATGAAAATTCCCAAAAGTTTATATGCATTCAGGTGTACCAAATGTCTCATTATGGACCGATCAACTTCAAATTTTGCACGTAAATGCACATGGCCATGAAGATCGTTTTTACATCGATCCAGACTTCCATGATTTTTTTCAATTTTTAAATTTTTGAAATTCATTTTAAAATTTTAAGAACATGCTAGAACACTGGATCGGTTTAAAAACGTTCTTCGTGGTTATGTGCATTTACGTGCAAAGTTCGAAGGAGATTGGTCCATAGTGAGACTTTTGGTACACCTGAATGCATTTAGACTTTTTGGAATTTTCGAACAGTCATAACTCCAGAACCGGCGCACAAACGGTTTTCACACCAGTTTATACAAATCATATGGCTACAGAATGCCATAAACCGAAACAAAAATGTGTTTGGGAGTGCGCAAAAGTGAAAGTTTCGTTGCTTGTACTGTACACGACTTTGGTACCATGCACCAGGCCACTTCCCTTAAGCAAAACAAAATCGTTTCGACGGAAAAATGCACTACTCGATGTACAAGATTTTCTGCGTACTACTAAAATGGTCTTCAAGTAATGGTCTTTATATTTACCGCTGTGTGAAAACAAAGATTGCATAGAAGTATATTGGTTATTCGTTTTCTGTGGAAATCTAACACGAATAGTAAATATTAGATTTTATTAGTAATTACTAAGTTTCTTAGGTATGAGCTTAAAACCAGTAAAAAACGCTTTATGTATGAAGCTTCAAACCATTAAAAATGCTTTTAAATACAACACTGCAGAAATTTCCATACCTTCATCCGAAGCCAACAAAATTACAATATTTTCCAGAAGTTTCTTAATGGCTCGCTTTCTAAATCAGAATTAAAATTTCAGCAGTTAGAAACTTTCACGGGTTTAACGAAAGATTCGGCAGTATGGAACCAGAAAAAAGCCGCCTGGTCTAATTTCTTAGTCCAGCTGTCCGATATCGCAACAGCTAGCAAAACTACTTCAGTACAATTTCCAAAATTTCTTGGTCGCTTTTGCTTATGTGATGGGCAGGGAATAAAATTCCATGCAACGCTAGTGTTCCAATTACCCAATAGACGTTTTCGGAAGGTGCGGCCGCCGGACGCACGAGTCACAGTGAAAAATTATTAAAATAACATTGATCCGAGAGGCTGAATTGGCTTTGGTAGTTAGCCTGATATTATAGTCATCTGAACCTAACCATGCTTTAGCATACCATACTATGGGTGAATGGGCGTCCCAACATCCTTATAAGGCGTCGTTCAAGTGTTACAAAACCGAAAATTTCCAACGTCTCGACCACCACCACCCTTTTGGCATCTTTATCCATTTCTCCGCTTTCGGGGAAAAATTTGCATTTCAGGTCCAATGTCATATTTGCAGTCAATTAAAGTGAAATGCAAATCTTCTAGAAAATTCCATCGTCAACTGTGGATTGTGATAATATAACAGAATTCTAAGCTTCCTTCATGAAGCTTACCCGTAGCCGTAAGTCCTATACTTGCAGTAATGAGTTTTAATTTTCGCACTGGGTTGTGATTTGCCCATCGCATTATTTATTCGGCGTAATTTACGCGGGGTCTGCTAGTTCCTTATAACGTATAAAAAAATCAAGATTCATGATAAGAAGGTTTGGTAAATATGGACTTGTCTAAGACCACACTTTACTCAAACTCACTACTCGATCTATAAAAAAACAAAGCTAATCATTTTCGAATGGTAAAATTGTATGTATAGTTTATCATGGTTTCTTACGAGTATATTAAAAAACAGCCGTACTTTGCGACTGCTTTATTCGGCTAGTTATTTCGAAACCTTACTTGTGTTGTTGTTGTTGTTGTTGCTTCCTTACAGACACAATGATATCCATGGTTACAGTAGGTACGCTTTAGTCTTCACGCCTATTATGCATTGCAATAATTTTTCTTATGCTTTGCTTTGCTTATGCTTTGCAATAATTTTTCAACACTTAATTAAGCCTCCAGCGGGCGGTACCCGAAGGTGTCCGAGCTTGAAAATCGGGATTACCCTATGGAAAATTTCAGTAAAGAAAGGGAATTTTTTGGGGGCTTGTGCAGACCATAGGTCAGCGGTGGTGAGTGGTGACTATGTCGTTTGCCAACACTAATGCCAATGGACCGTCTACTGCACACAAGCGTTTAATTCTGTCAATGATGAGGCAAACAGGAATTACGTGAAAAGCAATAACTTTATAAATAGCACAAAAAAGGTACTTTAAAACAGGATGGAAGTGGTCAAGAAACTGACCCCTGGCCAGCAAAAAATTAAAAACTGTAAAATCCCGTTTCCATGTTTTTGTCCACTACTACAGACAGAATATCGAATATAAACGATGCTATCGATGTTTCTTCCCAAGCCTTTTATTATACTCATTTATGAGACTGCACGTTATTTTTGAAGTTTAACATTACATTTCTGGCGCTTGTATACTGCCCGCAATGTCCGCGCTTACACTTTTCTGGGTGTGACAGCAGGTGCCATTGCAAAAAAAGCGGCACAAATGGTTCAGCTGCAGTGGTCATTAGCGCTTAATCGGATATTTGTGGTCACTAGCACTTTGGGGAATGCGTTAGCGGCCGGAAGTAGTTTGGCTGCCGCTAAGGTCAACATCATTAATGTGCACGCTTCATTGAACCATTACGTAACCTTTTCAGTACACATGTGCCGAGCGCGAATGCGCGATGCCTACCTTGCCTTAAGATGTATACATTATTACATCTTAATAATTTTGGGAATGGAGAAGTAATTCAATATTCGTACGTTAACCTTAAAAATTTGTTTGAAAAATCAGGCACGCGGCAGAATAGATTAGGACGCTCTTGGAAAAAATACTGTAACCCCGAAAAATTTTTAAAAATCTTCAAAAACCATTCAGTACTGAGCTGATGTAACTAGAATACAACTACGGGTACATTTCTACAGATAATCATTGTATTTCTCATTTATCGACATTATTAGCTTAGTAGCAACTGGGGCAATTGTTGCATTACCTGTGTGTTTCAGCATTTCTACGTTTGAAAAATAATGAAAATAAAATTTCAGAAAATTCCGGCAGTCATCCGGAAGTTAGAAAATTGAATTACTATAATCGACGTCCTTACTTGATTATTGTACAGACTCACTATTTTTGAAATTCATTTTAAAATTTGAAAAAAATGGTAGAATGCTGGTTCGGTACCAAAACGATCTTCATAGTAATGTGTGTTTTCGTGTAAAATATGAAGAGCATCGGTTCATAATGAGGCTTTTGCTGCACCTCCGCGCGTTTAAACTTTTGGAATTTTATTTCATTAATAACTCCCGAACCGGATGTTGCGCGCACAAACGGTTTTTCTGCCTAAGTAAGTAATAAGTATACAGATCCATTGGCTACAAAATGCCATAAAGCAATGCAAAAAAGTGTTTAGGGGTGCGCGGCAGCGAAAGTTCCCGTGTATGTACCCGAATTGGTACTATGTATCGGGCCAAATCGCTTAAGCGGAGGGTTTAACCCAAACGTTTCCAACCGTTCAGTCAAGTTTTTGATTAGTTTAGACAATTTTGTACTTTTTTCGTTTGATTTTATGAAATAAAAGCTACACTTTCCCTGATTACATATCTCGTAGATATGTTTTATTCCAGTCGGAAGCCAGCCGCCGATGTTTGCGACCTCGTACCTACCGGAAATTGCAGACATCTGCCGCTGGTTTCAGACTGCTGCATCCGGCATATTCAGCCGCGACACTGGCACATTCTTCGAAATAGCATTATTACGCGTATTTGTGATGCAATTATAGTAAGTGTTACTAGACTAATTTTATTTGAATAATCCCTTCATAAGATGATGGAAATCAAATTTTTTAATTCACGTTGTACTAGAAATTCGTGTTCACACGTTTCTCGTATACTGCAGAGAAAATTCTACATCCGCATCAATATCAGTCAGAATTTATATGTCAAGCAAAACTGCCCGTTTGATATCATTAAGAGCTCCTTTAATAAATCTAGCTGTAAGTCCAGGTATTCGAGCAAGCCAGAACAACGAGTCCGATTAAACGGACGATCAGTCTAAGTGTCTAATTCACTAGTTGTGGTCGACCCGCATTAAGAACACTGGATCTTGCCCGCAGGGGAGGAAATTATCAAATAAGCGACCGCGTTTTAAATACTCTGCGATTTGTTCGATAGCGGAAAGGATTAGTTAACCGTTTTTTCATGTTAAAGCTTGTACCTACGCTAATTTCAACAAAAAAAGTCAAATACCATAGCATATATAGAATACCAGGTATTATTGGTAATATCAGTGGTATTAACTGGTATACCAGTGGTATAAACTGGTATACCAAAATACCAATACCGTAGAAACGCTCAAGTGCCTGGTAATGGCTGGTATCAACAACCCTAGATTAAGCAGTACGAGCGAGTTGGAAATGATTCTAGAAAACTTAAAAAATCACGAGCGATATAAGCACAAAATTTCCCGCTCGGGCAGGGCTATACGTGCTGGTGTCAGTTAATTGCTCTGCTGCACTAATTAGCCTATTTAATAAAATAATAAAAGGTCATCCTTAGCCACTCCTTCAGCAAGTTTTCTCATTCCTGGCGCAATAAAACAGTCAATAGCTAGGCGTATATTGCAACAATATTATAATTTTATTAATTTGTATTTTTTATAAAAGTATAAAAATGTGAGAAATTTATATAAATAAATTTATAAACAGCTGCTTATGTTTATTTTATAAAATACTGAAATACGTAACTAATTAACGAAAGTCAACAACATACCGAAATCAAAAATTTAAGTTCCAAGTAAAGTTAGAGTCAGCATGTTCTCTAGATTCTCGTACATACCGCTACTGTTATCCAGCGGCGGTGACATTTTGAATTTTTTTCCCAATGCCGACTCGGAACTGCTAATGTACAGATACAGTACATATAAAGCACAATTACCGAAAATTAATCAAATTGGATTGGCTGAGAGCTGATTTCAACAGCTTGATCAGTGCTGAAGATGCGTATGTAGCCCGACTGATGGCGGGCAAAAACTGATCAGACTGAGGTACTTGTGTGTCTACCGAAAGTTCGAAACGACAAAGCGTAAACTACATATGCAATGTAGTAATAACAATAACGGACAATTTGAGCGAGATTACTGACGAGTGACGACTGTTAACTGTTAAGCGTGTTTTTTCCTTGTATGCACTTTCGGGCTGGCTGCAGTTTGTACAAGCCTGCTGTGTCCATTCGTTGATTATGCTCCCGGAAACATTTCCTGATAATCCCGCGTTGCTTCATCGTGGCCAGACTGCCGGTAACTTAGGTCAGTGTTGTCCTTTAATCGGTGTCATTCGCTTTCTTTGCTTTTTGCATTAAGTATCTTCCGAGAAACAACGCCAATATGCCTTTGCCATCTGCATACGTACCGGACGAGAGCTCCTACTAAAACAGATGTTACGATGTATCCTCCGCAAAACTGTGGAATTGGTCTCCCTGTTTTGTGGAAGGTGCCACGTAAGGCTGTCCTTTTCACCGTTCGCGTCACGTGTCCGAAAGTCAGCCGACCGGAAGTCATAGTACATGAACTACATTTCATGGCGCACGTCCGGCCATCCCTGTAACGCCGCTTACCCGCTAACCAGTCGACCGTGGAAAGATCGCAAGCAACCCAAATGAAATTTTTTATTGATTCACATTCCGTTAGATAAGGTTTTGTGCGAACCTAACGCTCCAACGGTTAGCTGTCAACACGAAAGTGGTATCATATAATTATCGGGCCATTTTTTATGCGAAATGTGTAGCGCCGATTCGGCGTTTTTTTACCTTTCTTGTCTTTGTAAATGTTACTACTTAATCGCAAACTGCCCATAAATTGTATAACTTGTTTACGCAATTTCCTGCCACTCCAGCGAAAATCAAGCTCAAGAAGCTAATTGCAAAACAGCGGTTAAACTTCCTAAAACGTAAAAGGATCACGTAAATGAGCGAGCCGCCGAAATATCATTCTAGATAGTTCCACTGTTTTTTATTAGACAATAGATCCACCGTGCATTTAGTTGGCATTACTGATTTTATCGGTTAATGTAGTTATGGGATCCGGCGTTGTTATGCTGAGACGTAAAATAAATGAATAAATGATAAAGATTCTACTGGAGCTGGTTGATTATTATTTCTGTTACATATTCAGTCATGTTCCTTAAAGTCTCTTACGTAGGATAGCGCTGCCGCCATGAAGTGGCGGTTAATATTTTCCAAAAGCCGACGCGAAACTGCATCACACTGTAAATTCGTCTAAAGTGCAACAAACCCACGGAAAATCAAATTATTCGATTGGCTTAGCGTCGATTGCATCAGGTCGATTAATGCTGGAGATACATATGAAACACAACTGACGGCGCGCTTAAACCGATCAGATTCGGTAAAAGAGCATTGCTCCCCGACATTTCCGGCTGGCGGCAGTATTTATATATTTATTCCGGCCATCTTCATTAGTTGACTACGCGGCAACATATACTCGTATTTCTGGAATATAATCCCGCGTTGCTACATAGACTCGCTGTTGCGGCTTACAACTTCAGCCTTTTCGCCGGGTTTCGGCATTATCTTCAGTATGGCTGTTATAACCTACGATGCGGTAGGCGTAACGGATGAGAGTTCCTGCTAATTAAAAAGGAATTTTACGATGTAGGCGCCAC